CGCAATTTTAGGAAGAATAAGAATAAAAATAAGTGGAAAGTGACAAGTCATTTGGTCACTATGTGTATTTAAATATTTTATATTATGTATTCATCGCGCGCGTGTATGTCGTGGCAGCTTAGAAGTCATGGTCACGAACTCATGTGCTGGCGTTGTCGAGTCACAGATTTAAGTTCTGATACCATTGAAGATGATGACCTATAATTTAGAGGGGCTGATGCATGTTAAATAAACCTTGGCTAAAAGTCCTCACGTTGGCATGGTGAGGTAGTTAGGAGAATGGGGTGACATTTCAGGTATCTTTCTCGTTATTTGAGCAGGGTTCAAAAGTACAGAGTTAGTTCTTTGCGTTGCTTTTCATGCGATGTTAATGAGTACTCACTTATATTCGTGTATGTTTTATTAGAGGTGTGCCGAAGTGTTCTAAAATATTAGGTTCTAGCATATTAGTTTCAAACTGATAATAGGTTCCAAAAACATGTTACTTTTGGAACGTGCTCTATTACCCTGTTATATTTGTAGTTATTCAATCCTTACTATTAGAGAGAGTTCACTCTCTCTTTTTATATATTTATCTTGTTCAAATTTTCAATCGTTGATAAAATGCTTTCTTTTTATTCACTGAAATTCAAATACATTTTTTAAAGTTTTCAGTAGATGATACTTGATGTTGACACAGTTTTTTTAAATATTAATTCATTAATTAAATTTTATTTTTTAATTTTAAATTGATTTTGCGTTATTTCTGACGTAGTTAGAACTAGCACCAACAGATGGCGCAAGTAAGTTTTTAACGAATTTTTTTCTTGGCTGCAAATGTATTTTTTTACTCTTGTAGTGAAGGATACTTGATGTTGATGCAGTTTTTTTTTAAAAAAATATTAATTCTTTATTTAAATTAATTTAACTAAAATAAAATTTTTCTTTGTTGACCTAAGCAGGAATTGACTGAAATTTTTTTTATATTACTTTTTGTAGAATATATGCTACTAAAGTATTTCTTTCAGAACACATTATACGCAGTTTTTGTATTACTAGTGTTGTAATACATATTCTACAACCCAAAAGGATATTCTACGAGCCTATTATGTTTGTAATATATTCCACAAATCTATTATAGTAAGAATATAGTCTACGATAAATATTATTTTTAGAGTATTTTATACGATATGGCTTACCTATGAATGTGTCGCATTTATTTTAAGCAGATTAAGTTTCCTACACTTCTGATATTATTTTTAAATCAAGAGACAATCAAACATTATTTTATGTAACGTCCGGAGTATAACAAGGACTTTTAACACAAAAAATAAGATCGAAATTTAAGGGTACGCGTTATACGTTGAGATATATATATATATATATATATATATATATATATATATAAATGATTACTTCAAAATAATAATAATAATAATAAAAAAGATGAGCATAAAAAAAAATTAGACTTCTGCATAGATCAGAATACTGTTTATTTAAAAGAAATGACATACCTCGTGAACTTTAAGGGTTTTAGTTCTAAAAGTACGCTATTTTTTCAGAATCCTTTAAAAATACCTGGAATAAATGTTTCAAAACATAATAGCACTGCATATGTACATTACAGGTTCCTTCTTAAATAAGTAATATAAAATTTTTTTTTAAGTCAATTCCTGTTGTTTCTAATGCCACCTGTCTGACGTAGTCAGATCGAGGCCCACGAAATTCATCGTGGCAAGGGGCTAGAACAGTGTTTCTCAAACTTTCAATACTGGCGCCCCTTTTCAATCACAATTTTTATCGCGCCCCCTTATACATTAATAAATTACTGAATGCAATAATAATGCACTTTGACGCTAAAACTACAATACACGATCTTAATTATAAACCATACAAATTAATAACATAAGTATTAAAATTTTTGTATATGTTATTTTTTAAGAAAAAAAAAAAATAAGTAATGGGATAAAATTATTATGTTGTTTTTTTTTTTTCGATTTTTAAATTGGAACATATTGCAAAATGCGGTTGTTTTGGGAAACAAAAATATAGATATCAGCAAATATAAAAACAGAGGGTCAATTTCAAAAAAATTTTGCTCTGCAAGACAAGTTCATGGAAGTCACAATACTTATTAAACTTGTTTTTAATTCATAAAAAGATAAGTAAAAAATTTTTTTATATATGTTTTTTTTAAGTAATATATATTTTAAGTAAATTATTTTTTAAGTAATGGGTTTAAATTATTTTTTTTTTTTCTTTTTTTTAAATTGAAACAGATTGAGAAATAATATTTAATTAAAGATTTATTTCCTTCAAGATCCATTTCAAAAAGTACAAATGTCATTAAAAATAGCCAATCTATGTTGATTTTTATCTTTCCATTACATCTGGCATCCTCGCGAACGTACATGTGAGTCTAGGCAACCTAACAGACGTCTGCAAAAAACATGAAAAAATGCTGTATTCGAACAATTTAGTCAGTCTTGGCCGAATCGTTTAGCTCCCGAATCTCTTAAGCTTTTTTCAAAATTCCCCCGTTAATTATAATTCAGGTTTTAAGTATTTACGGCAGTGGATTAAAAAAAAAATAGATATTTTTTTAAATCACAGAGAGCATTCGACGATAATAAAGCATCAACAAGTACACAGACGAGGGAAAATTGATAGCAAGTTCAATGGGTTGGGGTCCATTTTAAAATATTTAGAAGGGCCTCAACGCCGAAAAGAGATTTTAAAATTTTACATCCAGTGACGAAATTAAAGGGCAATTTTGTAATAAATCATTTTTAAATTTTGGGATAGAGGTGGATGCTGAATTTTCGCACTGAAAAAAAAAGCATTTCGTATACTATTACCTTTTTTAACAGCATACCTTTGTGAATCCGATTTTCTGCGATGGCTATTTTGAAGACAAAATATAGATCTGAGCAAATATAAAAAAAATAACTTTGAGTGTAAATTTTTAATTTTAGCCTTCCTTTTAAAAAAACGTTTGCAAGACAAGCCCAGGGGGAAGCACTGATAATTATTAAACTTGTTCTTATACTGGCTGAAGTACACACCTTAACAATTAATTTTTTAAAAAATGATAATATATTATTCTTGATATTTTTGATATAATGGGGATTAATTGTAAGGAGAGTAAAACAAAGTATGACAATGTATACAAAATGTAAATGATTTATTGAAATGAATACTCATATTATAAACGGTTTTGAATGAACTGTAATTTGCCTGCAGAATTAGATTTGAATAAATGTTAAATAAAAAAAGAATATAAAATTTTAATGAATAAAATTGTGTTATTTTTTTTTAATATTTAAAGCGAGAAAACTTCAAAATGATTTACCCCGGGGATCAGGTGTGACCTCGATACAAAAGGTTAATGGTCGGGGGGAGTGATGCATCCCAATTTTTTTTTTTATAATTATTTTCAATATACAAGATAAAAATCACAATTTCAGTGAATAATTTAACTAAGAGAAAATATACTTATATTTCGGATTTTACTATTTGTCTCATAATTTGAGAAAAATCCAAAAAAACTGAACCAAATTTTTCCAAATGTGCGGACCTTAATAAAGGACACAAATCACAGACATTTTTGCTAACATTACATGAAAGTTATTTGCGAAAAAACTGTCACATTTTGTTCACGTTTTTGTAATTTTAATATCCTTTAGATCGAAAAATATCCGGGAACTTTTTCTTGCTTTTTCTTCTTGACAGGGGGGAAGTGCATTTTGCGGTACAGTTATGGCTTCATATTTTCTTTTTATAAAGTTCAAAGTAGTATTGAAAATTTTCCTTTCCATGTTTATTGCTTTTTCAAATTTACTTTTTGCTAACATGATTAATATCCATTATTTCAAAGTGTTTTCCTTTTCAGCTTTTCAATTTCCTTCAGAGAGATCACAAAGCCCAATGCTCATTTACATTTATAAACCATAATCAGTCGTTCAACATCACAATTAAAACCACTAAGTTATTCATAGGGGGAAAAAGCAGAGTTCAAGAAAATTTTTTGAAAAAAAAGTGGCCGTGTCGGGAACTCGGCAAAAAAAAGTACCTTAAGATTTAAAAACGTTTTCCACCCCAAAAAAAAGGGGATATGTTATCAATTCATTTTATCCCAAAAAGTTTTTAGGGGATTCGTCACCCGGAAAAAAAAAGTTTTCCCAGAAAACATTTTTTTATTATATGTTTCAGTAACCTTAAACCCCTTAATCCTTCAAAGTGCTCAATATGCTTATCCATGTATCAAAAACCTTTTTACTTTGTGAAAAAGCGCAACAGAATTATATAATTTACAACTTCCCTAAAAGAAAGGGGTGCACGTAACCATAACAGTAAGTTCGAAAGCCAAAAAAGTAATATTTTTAAAAAAAGAAACGTAATAAAAAAAACTCTCATCGTAGGATTACAGCAAAGCAAACAAAATATTTTTTTTTTTTAGCTATAGGATCAAAGATAGCAATGAGCGTTCAAAGTAGAATCTTTTTTTTTGACCTTTTTTTACCAGATGATATATATAAATCATATCAATTTAAAACTGTATTTTTATTATATCAGAAAATATTTTTTTTATTCCAGTAAATTAATTTTTAACCTTTATTTTCGATATGCCGCGCCCCCCTTGGGGTTATCGCGCCCCCCCGGGGCGCGCCCCACAGTTTGAGAAACACTGGGCTAGAAGTACGCCTGTCGTTGGCCTTGAGCACCATAAAGGTGACAGTACGAATTCCGAGTCAATTCCTACTAAGGTTAACAAAGAAAATTTTCATTTTAGTTACTTTTTGTTAAATATTTACAATTAACACAAATATGTATATATATGTGGAGAGTCACAAAATTTAAATGGCAAAATAGAAAGCGATTTTTTTTTGGGAATTTTCCATTTTCCTTCTATAGGGTGTTGGCAAGTGTTGGGGTTTTTTACTATTTATTCATTAATTAAATTTCATTATTCTAATAAAACTGTATATAGTAAGAAGAAATCACATTTTCAGAAACTAAGCCATCCCAGGTGGGATTCAAACCCATGACCTTTGGATTAGAAGTCCAATGCACTATCCATTGCGCAACAGGAACATAATGAGTGGTTTTCCTTTCTATATTTGGTTTTGGACTATTATTTTTGTTTGTTACTATTTAGTTATTAATTAAAATAAATAAATTAATATTTGAAAAAACCGTATTAACATCAAGGGTCACCACTATAAGTTTAAAAAAAGTATTTGAACTTGAGTGGATGAATAAAAAGTATTTTATTAACGGCTGAAAATTTGAACAAGATTGATACCAATAGTAGCAACTGAAAAAGGGAATGAGCGTTAAACGCGGAATATACCTAAGAATTAAAAAAATGCTGTTTGAAAGTATAGGTGCGTGTTATACTCCGGATTTTACGGTATTAATATATTTCAAAAATGACATTTCTTTCGATGTAAAAATATTTAGCTAAAAGATTGACGAAATTATTTGAATTCTACCATTTATGACAGAAATTACAATTTATTTGAGTATTACAAATAATATTTTCAAGGCTTTTCAATGAATTAATGACTTTAATTTTTAAATCTATACTTGGTATCATTATAAAATTAAGAATAACATAATGTGATTAATGTTTTGTGACTAGTTGAAATATTTGAATCGGTGAACTTAAAATACTTCATAAACTAAGAAATATATAATTAATTTATGAGTTTTTTTAGAAAGTAATTTATAAACGCACACACACCTCGATGATTTTCTGAAAAGATTTATATAGGTATTTCATTAATATAAATTGTTCTTAATGTTTTGAAAAACTCAGATCATTAATATTCACTCGAAACTATAAAGAAACTCACGAAAAGTAAGCTTTGAAAAAATCTATTTAAGTGATGAGTAATTTAGATAAGAAAAAAGTATATGTTTATAAAGTTAAATTAATGCATAAAAGAATACCCTGGGAACAAAAACAGTTTTGCTCATTTTCATAACTAGGAGACTTCTACGCAAATCCTTTACAAAATTAAAAAAAAAAAAAAAATTGAGTGTTAGACATTAAATTTTGTAGTTTGCAGCAAAGACGCTTGCAAATGAGCTATGTTTGCCATCTGCGTGGTACTGTAGGAAAAGGTATGTATTCAAGAATAAGATTAATTTATTCTTCTTTATATCATCCGTGGAGAACAGTGAATATTTTTTTCTTACATATTTTTCTTAGAGATTTTCGTATTTTTTATACATATTCTTAAGGTGATGATTTTTTCTCCTTCATGTCCTGTACTAACATTAACCATTCTTGTTTGCACCGAATGAGCTTTATAAGGATGTAAAATAAAAGAGGGAAAACAGATGAATATGGCGAAAAGGGAAAAATAGCTCCAAAGCGTTGGCTCTAATATCTAACTCTTTTTCAACTTTATTAAAATTATAAGAAAAGACATTAAAATATATTTTGCAAAAAAATATGATAAATATTTTTTATACAAAAGGTACACCCTTTTTGAATAGTTAATTAGAAGGCTAATATTTTCCTTATGAATCTAATATTTTTAAAAGCCTAAACTACACATTTTCGTATATTATGAAAAATTTTCGGGGGTTTAGTTTATTTCTGTGCCCAAACGATATCATGGCTGGTATGGAAAGATCATTTCCAAGCCAAAGAGGAGAATATTATGTTAATGAAAATGGAGCAGCTGTTCTTAAACTATGGTCCGTGGACCCCTGGGGGTCCTCGGAGTCTCTCATGTGACATTGAGATTTTCCTCTTTTATATACTCTGAAAGGCTGCGTGGAAAAATAGAAAGATGTGTCATCTTAGAATAGATCACTAATTTGACTCAAATGAAAAAACTCAACTAGAACAAATACAGTCGAACCTCCATATTACGAGCCTCTATATTGAGAATTTTTCCATTTAGCGAACGTTTTCCTGGAATCAAGAACATTTCACGATTTTCTTCGTAAAATAACCTCCCAATAGTGAAGTGTATTTTCTATATAATGAGCTTTTTCTCTGGAGGTTAAATTTTTTACTCCCTATTTTTAAAGTATTTCAGGACATTTCAAGTTATTCTTTCTTTTACCACATTTTATGGTAGTCATAAATCTTGAACTGGTTTTATTAGAAGTCTTACTCGGAGAGAGCAAAAGAATTTTGGGCATTTCCTCCAAGAAGTGCAACCTTTAACCCCCATTGTCCAGTTCACTGGAAACATCTTTGATATTCCATTTTACCCTCAGGGGAGACACGTGTCCTTGAACTAGTCTCCGTTCATTTGTAGTGTTGATCAATCGTACTGGTAACTTCATTTCTTGTAGCTTAAAAATGTCAAAACGTAAGTGATTGAGCATTAAAGAAAAAAATTTAACGCTTCAGGAAATGGATAAAGGCGTCAAGAAACTTTTCTCGCAGTTTTTCTTTCTCTCTTTTATAGGTAATATATATATAAAATAAATATATATTAATTTACAAAAAAGGTGGAAATAGTTATTTTTTTTTAATACATAGTGTTTATGAATTTAAAAATTTGTTTTATTTGGTTTATAAAGGAAATTGAAATATGAACATCTATATAACGAATTTTCCATATAATGAATTTTTTTGTGGGGGGATATAGCGATTTCGTTATATGGAGGTCCGACTGTATTTCGATGAAGAATATTAATTCAGTTCTTTTATTGTTTGTAACTCCATGGCCATTACTACTACGTAATATTTTCAAAAAGTAGTAGAAACAATATGGAAAGAGCAGAACTGATATAAGCGAAGTGATATAACAGCACTTGTAAATATATAAAATCCTTCTCATTAAAAATTTTAATTTACTCAGTTAAGTATATTATTTGTTTGACAATAGTGTTTTGTAATATGTTTACATGTACATAATTAGATGTTTGCTGTTTTTCTTAAAGGAAAAAAAAGTGTTAAGAAGAGCTGTATATAAATAGCAGAGGCAGCCTTAGGATTATTGAGGAACCATTACATCTCTCAGCCATATGTTGGAAGTCAGGAACGGGTTTTTAAAATCTTGTGGGTTCACGATGTCAGGCTAATTCATAAAGGGGAGGAGCTGCGGCCATCTAACTGTTGACTCACGGAACCATTAAGACTTATAAGGTGTTTCTGAGAAATCCAATCTAAAAGCCTTTGAAGAATATATCTTAAAATAAAATGCTTAAAATAGATCAACATGCTGTAGCTACTTTAAATAAAGACAATTTAAGAAAAGTACTGCATGTTTATTAAAATATTTTGTTATTAAATTAATGTAATTTATTCATTACGGTATCCGACGACGTTCGGAACCGTGATTTTAAAAAGGCGCATAAATGGATAACTTTCATGATATTTAGTGTCACTTAGATTAGATTACATGTATAAAATTGCTTTCTGGACATTTTGACAAAAAATTATTTAAATACAATATTTAGTCAAAAAAATGAAATAAATTTTTCAATATGTTTTCTTTTGTAAGAAAATGCTTTATTATAATAATATTTGCCTGCAATGCGCTGCTCAGACCTCTGTACAGAGGTTCAACTATGACTTTTGAAAAATTCACATTATTTTCAGAATTACAACCATTTGAAATAGTTATCGGCGTTTTTTTCTTAAAAGTTCTCCCCTCTGTTGTCGTAAAACATGTATAAACCCACTTCTAAGTTATATATTTCAAAAATTCTAGTTGAGCTTCTGCACAGAGGTCTGAGGTATTTACAGGCAAAATATTATTATAATAGAAGCATTTTTCACAAAAGGAGAATATTTTGAAAATGGGTCATTCTATGTTCATTTTTTGTCAAAATAGTGTACTTAAATAATTTTTTATTGCAATACTATTCTTAAAGCAATTTTATATACATTTTCTAATCTAAGTGACGCTAAATATCATAAATATTATCCATTTATACGCTTTTGAAAAATCACGGTTCCGAACGTAGTCGGATACCTTAATTCGTGCACCAGGTGTCATCTACCTATGCATCATATATAGTAATTGGGAATACGTATTTGCATTTTTTTTATACAAACATTTGAAGTCCACTTCTATTGAAGCTATCTGCAATCGCATTTCATACTTTGCATTTCAATATATTTTTTTTTCCGATACCACACACGTAAAGAAATACATTGTTCAGAATGGTATTAAAATGTTTATAACTGTGTGAGAGAAATTTGTCTGCGTATTTGGCAAATTTGTAATCTAAAATATAGAAGCTTTTCCTGTTTAAATTTAGGTTTTATCGTCGAATCTGTTGATATGTCGATAAGTTGTCCATTGTCTTTCATTAGCAAGCCTTCTTCATCCCCTTATGTTCAGTTTTCTTCTCAAGGAAATATTATTTTGCAGGGGTTATGCACTAAAGAGTATAAAATTATTTTGAGGAGCCCAGAATCATAAGCAAAAGAATATTCACAATTTAGGTAGTACATATAAAGAAAAACTTTTTAATATTATATTATAATAACAGCTACAGGAGACTACTAAGAAGAGGCTGTCCGGCACCGAATTTATTTCTTAAGTTCCTTTCTATGGGACGTGGGACCTGCGTTGGGACACACGGCTTTTGATCATACATTATATATTTTGCCTGTATATTTATAGTTTTCTTTTATATTCGTTGAACCGCAGGGTTTCCTGAAGCACACAGTTTGACGACCACCGAAATAGAGTGATCTTGGCGACCGTTTTGGTGTCAAAAAAGTTTCTGGAAAATTCCAGAAAGGATGAATATTTTTCGAGAATGTTCTAGAAGCTATGGTCATATTATTTAAGAGCGACGTAGAGAAGTAACAGCAGTCAGTCAGAGCTTGACAACGAACTGCACGTTTTATTGTTTTAATAAGATATAATTGCTGAGTAAATTTCAAATTTATATTGTTATGAATTTTACCCGTGTTAGTTGTTTCTTGTTCAGTAAATTTATTGTAATTACTTGATAATTCCAGAATAACTTACGATTTATTTCGAAAGAATTTGCCTGTAAATTAGGTGGACCTTTCCTGCGTTTCGAGACATTCAACTCCGTAATACTATAAATAACGTTGTGACGGGCTCACGCGTCTTTTCATTAACATGTCCTTTGGGTTC